TCCCAACCCCTGATCATGTTAGTTGCCCTCTCCTCTTCCAGCCTTTCTCTTCCCCTCTCCCACCTCCTTTTCCCAGTCTCCCCCAGTTTTGTTCAATAAAGACAGAGTCAATGTTGGAAGAAACGTTATCTTTATTTTGTACATCAGGAAGGGGGGCTAGGGAGGGGTAAGTGGAAGGAGGTGAGGGAGGAATGGGGTACGAGCCCCCGATGGGGAGGACTGGGCTGGCTCTGCGGGTTTCTGGGGGTGGAAGCTCTCCTGCAGCCCCCCAATTGCCCCCTCTCCCCAGATGGCAGCCTGGGGCAAGTGCAGCCTGTCTGATGGCCGAGTGCTGTGATGTGCCCAGTGTGGGTACTCCGGGCAATCCAAGCCAGGACTGGTTTTCAAGCGGGGCACCCCTGAGAACTGTCTGTCCGGGGTGGGGGTTGGGTCCCTTTAAGCGCAGCCCTCGGCTAGCCTGAGACAGCATCTCCACGCTCTAAGTCCTCCTCTGATGCCCTGCCGGCACTGCTTCCGGCCATCCTTAAGCCCTGTTCAGGGTCCACTCAATGTGGACATGCTAGTTCGAATTAGCAAAACGCTAATTCGAACTAGTTTTTAGTTCTAGACGCGTTAGTTCGAATTAGCTTAGTTTGAATTAGCTTAGTTCAAACTAACTCTGTAGCGTAGACATACCCTTATTGTGGGAAGGCTTGTGATAGTGTTCTCCTTTTCTTCTGTGCTCCTGCTGGCAGCAGCACTGCTTTTAGAGCTGGATAGCGGGAGAGCAGTGGCTGCTAGTTGGGAGCCCAGCTCTGAAGGCAGAGCTTCTGCTTGCAGAGCTGGCCCTCAGTCAGCGGCCACCCCTCTCCAGTCACCTTGTTTGGAAGACGGTAGCACAGAATAGGGTGGCATGATATGGTATTACCACCCTTACTTATGTGCTGCTGCCTTCAGAGAGGGGTAGTTGGCCAATGCCATTGCTCAATGGCTGCCCAGCTATAAAGGCAATGCAGAAGTAAGGGTGGCAAAACAGCAACATCCCTTCAACTCCCTTTTGAGTCAGGACCCTTCCACTGGAGAAAGGCTGGTCTCCCCTATGAAATTTCTATAGTATTGTATAAAGGCACACAAAAAGACCAGATGTTAGGGTCCATTACATGGTTTGCAAGGCTGTGAACTTGGTAGGGTCATAACCATAATATGCAACAAATAGCATTATTCATCAGTAGATCTTAAAGCGCTTCACAACAAGAGGAAAAAATTGTTATTTCCCTTTTTACCGGTAGGCAAGTTTAGGCCTAAACTTAAGAGAGAAAGTGATTTGCCCAAAGTGAACAGAGCCAGAAAAAGAATCCAGGCCTTTCAAGTCACAGCCCACTGCTCTA